AAAGGCTAAGGCTATGTTCAGCTTCAGGATCAGCACAGAACAAGCAAAGACAAGAGACAGCTGGTGAAGAGGAACCTGGGCAGCAAGCGCACAGGCCACTGATGGTGTGGAGGGTATATATTGTCATCTTATTGCAAAAGTTCCATACCTTCTTGGTGATTTCTTATGGGTAGCTCCTCACAGCACTGACTCCTTCTTCTTCACAGCACAACCAACAAACTCCAACTCTCTCCTCATTCAGCTAACCCCCTCTTTTGTAGCACTATTCTACTTATTGGACAGCTGTGGCCTATTAAGGGTAGGCCTGTTCCTAATCTTTGGTGATTAGTACAGCTGCAACTCCTCAGGTGTGAGATTACCTTCTGCACTGTCTTTATTTTCTTACATTCTATCCCCCCACAGGCATAGAAATGAACACAACTTTCAGGAGAAAGTGTGCACCCGGTAAGAGCAAAATTGCAAGTCACAGAAGGCAACTGTGGTCCCCAGCCACGGAGGATATGTGGCCAAAAGAGAGTCAGGGAAGGTGAGGCAGCCTAAGAGTTAATGGTTGTCCTGGTTTGAAAGACAGGTGTCTGCTAGAGAGGGCAGGAGCCTCCCTTGGAATGGAAAACGTAAACCCCTGCCCTCCAAATTATTAAATTTTGAAATTAAGGGGCTCTCAGGCAAAGATATGGGAATAGGAATAATAATTCTTTACTAGTGTTGGAACCCTGGTTGCTGAGAATTTTAGACTTTCTGTGCTGACAAACAAACACCCAAGCGAACACTACATTTAACCTGAGGCCATGGAGAAGGCTTCCAAAATTCATGATAGAACTGGGATTATCAGTGTGTAGTTTGAATAGAAGTGTGTAATATCACATGGTGGAAAACTTAGAGTTTAAGGTTGTAGAATATAGTAATATATATAAAGCAAGATGGAGGTTTTAGGGCAGAGGCAGAGGCTGGTCCCCCTTCTTTACCTTCTTCTTCATGGGTTTGGGTGGTATTGTATAATTGGATAAAAAAGTCCGCATTGCAGGGCACAGGTGATTGGTTATTGGGTTAAAAGTAAAAATAATTTAGGTGTCACTTCTTAATTGGTCAGTTTCTCCTTAAAAGACCTTGTAAACAGAGAAATACATCTCCATTTTTACCTTGTTAGAGTTAAGTGCTGTAGAACTCCCAGCTTGTGAGACAATGATATAGATAAGAACTTATAATTGAAATTAACAGGGCAGGAGACTTTTTCTCCTCTTAATGCTTTTATTAGAAGTGTTCAACTCAAGATTGGGAAGCCCGAACCCGTAGTCTCTCTCAGGGTGACTTGCTAGGAGGAGGATATACACAGCTTTGTCCACTAGGGGCAGAGCTGGGGGCCCAGTACTCATAAGAGCTTCAAAGGTGTGACCAAAGTATTAATCTCTGCTGCCTCCCTCTCTTTAGGTCCTGGTCCAAGAGGATTGTGCTCAAGGTGAGGGACAACCAAGGTTTTCAGCATCTCTGCAGGCTCAGCACTCTGTTCCTCACATCCAGACATCACTCCAATTTCCCAACTCTATATTGGCTCGTTGTTTTGGGGGTCTTTTCAGTAAGTTTGGAGTAGTAGCTTCTCATGGCATGATGGTCCTGAGGTTATTTTGCATGCCTCCCCTCCCAAGTCTTGTCTTTTCTCCTCACTGTCTGGGCATGTCCCCTCCCTTCACTGTCTCGGAGAAGAGCCATTAACTTTGGCCTAGCCATGGCCTTTACTGATACAAAAAAGAAACATTAAGGACAACAACTTGTAATTATCATAACAAACAGGTAGTGCTTTAGCAGAAACAGTGGTCTGACTAGTTTTTCTAACCTTTTTCTCACAAAAAAAATTGGCAGATTTTTTGTTTATAACAATAAACATCTGAGTCCTTACAAGAAATACCATCTAACAATTTAATCCCGACCTTGGCAGAAAAAAAGAAGCACAAGAATCCACATTTAGTGGTGATCCTGTGTGAGGAGGGCACCTATCAGGATTGGGACCTCCCTGAAGAAGCAGAGATAATGAGCAGCTGGAAGGAAACTGGAAAAATTGCCAGGGGAAAAAAAAAGGAAGAAAAGGAACTAATAAATCCCTAGAGGCTGTTGAAATGGTGGAACCAGGACTCATGACTGCTGGACAATCACCGAATGGGGGAACCAAGGAGGAGAAACTGATGGCAGAAGTCAGGTACACTTTATGCTTCAGGATTATTGAGATATAATGGGAAATGTAATGTCCAGATCGCAAAGAGACACAGGTTGAGATGTGCTAGAAAAAAAGGGATGCTTATACTAAACTAAAGACTCAGATAACATTAAATTCTTGATTCAAAGATTTACTACTTTGAGTAATTAAGAACTTCTCTGAAATCTGGGACTCTGTTGATATTCAGCTTTTTTATCTTCTTCCTAAGAGAGATGAGGTTGCAGCTTTTTTCCTTCGAACATGCCGTGTAATTAATGACGTTGTGTTAAAACGCAAAGCTAGTAATCTTATCTCTGGAATTTTTCCTGGTTAACAGCAGGTGCCATCTTTGACCCCCATTGCTCATGCCACCTGCGGCCACTTGTAATATTGCACGGAGGGAGAGGGAAAAGCCCTGCCTGGGGGTTGCGAGGCTAGCTCCATGGTACTCGTACCACTGATATGGAGCCCAGGGGTAACTCCCTCGACCCCATGTGCAAACCTGATGGTGTCGGGAGTGGCGGTCCTGGGGAGGGCAGCAGCCCCCTTGAAGTTTGAGTAAAAACTCGTGCGTCCAGGTCTTAAACCCAGAAGGCCATACCAAAAGCTCTTACATCCTTACTGAGCATGCTCTCTTTGGACAAAATGGCGGCGCCCTACAGGAAGTTGCTGTACAACAAGATGGCGGCCCCAAGTGCTGAGCATGCATAGGGTGGCAGATGGAATTTTGTAACCATTGAGACTGCTGACCTCCCCCTTCAGTGACCTCTGGTCACTTCTATTATTGCAAGTAAAAAAGAATTCAGAGTTTTATGCAGAAACACAAAAAAATGGGTGCCTTGAATCAGAAGGGAAACCTAAGAGAAATATGAAACTAAATCAAATATCATACTTGTTCCTTATTGCTTTGTTGTTGGCCTTAAGTAATGCGTACATGACCATGAGTCAACCGAAAACCAATGTTTGGGTGACCTTGGACAATGCATCAGGCTTGGATACCATTTATTTGTCTTATTCAATTCCAGAAAAGCCATTTTCAACCTGCTTGGTTGGCTTGCCGGTAGACAATTGACCAAGACCAGAAAATGTCTCTCCAGATTTTTCACAATTCATTATCAATCCCACTGAGGGATGGGGTGTCCCTGAGGCACTGTATGAACCTCAAGAATTGGAACTCTTTGGCTCAGAGAAAATGGATTTTTTGCATAATATTTTACTTTCCTGGGTCAAAACAAAGTAAAGACAAAATTACAAATGTCACTCCAAATCACGCCTTGTACAAAAATGTGACATCTTGCTATAATTTCACCTCAGTGTTGCACACAGCACCCAACCATATCCCTTTGCAGTTGCCACAAGGGATCCTTCTCATTCGTGGAAATAAAGTTTGGCCTGCCATTCCATCAAATGTCAAAGGTGGTCCATTGTAGCATTGGGAGATTTACTTTACTGACACCTAACATAAAAATGATAAGAGAGCACAAATGTAGGGAGAAGAGGTTCACTGATCAATCTAATACTGACTGTGATGATAACTTTAGGACTTGGGATTTTGGAAAGAGGTTTACAGCAGCTTTCTTTCTGCCTCAAGCTGCTTCAGGGGCAGCCTTGAAACAAATGAATTAACTATGTTGTTGGCTAAGTGTGACCATGTTCACAGGGGTCTTAGGATGAGGGAAGAGACAAGGATCTGACTCCATGTTTCAGAAGGCTTGATTTATTATTTTATAATATATATTACATTAATACTATACTAAAAGAGTAGAAGAAAGGATTTCATCAGAAGGCTAGCTAAGAATAGAAAAAGAAAGAATTATAACGAAGGCTTGTGGCTCGGACTCTCTGTCCGAGCCAGCTCACTGTGATTGGCCATTAGTTAGAAACAACTCTGTGAGACCAATCACAGATCTACCTGTTGCGTTCCACAGCAGCGGATAATCATTGTTTACATTTTGTTCCTGAGGCCTCTCAGCTTCTCAGGAGGAAAAATCCTAAGGAAAGGATTTTTCATAAAAGATATCTGTGACATGACTCTTTTTATTTTAATTAAATTAAAAAGAAAAATGTTTGTAATTTTTTCTGTTGTGCCCATGCAGAGGAAAGAACAAACACTTGACAGATCATCTGTTGCCAATCAAAACCTCATCAAATGCTGATGTGGAATGAACAGGGAAATTCTTCACCTGTAGAACATAAAATTCTGTCATATCACTAAAACAATCTTACAATATAAGAAAATGCAAAAAACCATGCAAAGAAACTTCATTGCTTCAAGTCCAAACAGCTGAGTTTCAGGAGAAAGCCCATGGACTGAAGATGTTCCTCTTTGATATTTCTGAAAGTCCCTTTTGGTCCTGAAACAGGCTTGCAACAAAGAACTGCTAAAAAAAATCATTAACAGTTATCAAAAATCCATTGATAGTCATCAAACAATTTTGAGAAAACTTCTGGAATGTCTTGGCCACAGCCCTTTATTGAACCACTTGGGCTGAGGCTAATTTTTGGCTCTTCAATGCTTTTGAGCTGCTAGCTCTCTCAACTCTTTTTATGTTTTTTGGTTGTTTTTGTTTGTTTGTTTGTTTTTGTTTTTGTGGTGCCAATGCCACCTTTTATTTTCAAAACAATGGGGACGGGCTGGGGACAAGGATGGAGGACAGTGCCATCAAACTGTCTCCAAAACCTGGACCACAGCCCCAGGTGACAGAAGGGGTGATGTCCCCTGATCCCAGTGTCACACCAGCCCTCTGTGGGGTGACAGAGGGCAGTGCAGGGGGATGATGGAGAAGTGACACTGAAGGGACAGTGGTGACATCTAAAACTTGAACTCCTTGTACTTCTTGGCCCCCCCATGGGCGTCCTGGGCCTGCGCCTTGCATTGCTTCTGCTTGGCGGTGTGCTCGGCCACCATGTCACTGAAGTCCTCCTTCTCCACCTGCACCTGCCGCTCCCGCACGTGCTCCTCATACTTCTGAGTCATGGCTGTGGGGTGCAGCTCCAGCTCCTCAGGGGCCAGTGCCACCTCCACGCCCTGTGCCTCTGTCACTGGCCCCTTGTGTCCCACCACTGCGGACATGTCATAAATGTGGGTGGAGCCCATCGTGGCCATTCCCATGGTTGCCGTGCGTTTTTCAGGGACCACTGTGAACAGCTGGGAGGTCTCACTCCTGTCCATGGCCTCCATTTTCTTCTTGCAGAGCTCGATCACCTCTGGTGTCTCCATCCCGGCTGGCACTGAGGAGAAGCCCCCTGGGGTAATAAACCCACTGTCAGTGGGGGTGATGAACCCTGTCTGGTTGGGTTTCTCTTCGTTGCTCTCCTCCTCTTCCTCCTCCTCCTCCTCAGATTCCTCATCTGATGGCTCCAGCTCTCCCCAGGGTGTGCAGTCGATCTCCTCCTCCTCCTTCATTTGGAACTTGGCGGCGTTGGTGCTGAACACGTCTCCATAGAGCGGCTTCCCCATCTCGTCCACAGGGGGCTTCCCCCACCCCCCAGCATGGTACCCAAAAGAGCAGCCCTCAGGGATGGGGGCATTGAGCCCCAGGATTTTGAGGTTGGGGTACGAGGGGGGTGGTCCATAGCGCTGCATGGCGATCAGCCATGGGGGGGGCACCTTGTGGGCGTTTGGCCCCATGGGCATGCCCAGAGCAATCCACAGCTCATCCGAGAGGACACCCGGCTTCTTCTCCTTGAGCCGTGTCTCAAACTCCTTCCCCGCATAATAGAGGTCCCCGTGTAGGGTCTGTTTGGGCTTGGTCTGCCACTTGAAGAAGGCATCATGGAGTTTCTGGTAGTCAATGTCGATCTTACCCATCTTGGGTTGCACCTTGTCCCGCATCTTGGTCTTCATCGTTTTCTGTTCCTCTTTCTCCTGCAGGGCCTCGCGCATTTCCTGGATGCCCGTGCGCTTGATGAACTCAGGCAGCTCAAAGGGTGGTTTCTCAATGCCCCTCTTGCCTTGCAGGTATTTCCTCTTGAAGCACCAGTGCCGCAGCACCGGTACTGAGTTCCGTGTGGCCTTCAGGTGCATCAGGAGCTTGGGGTCCTGCGCGGTGACATCGTGCATCTCCACCACATCAGGGCGAGCCACCAGCTGTTTCAGCTCGGCCACTGTGAACCTGTTCATGCGCCGCAGTCTCTTCTTAGACAACTGGGGTGCCTCCTGCTTCTTCTGCTCGTCCTCAGAGCTGACCCCATCAGTGCCCCTGGTGCCATCCTTGGGTCCCTTTTTACGGGATACCCCAGCGCTCTCTGCCTGCTCTGCCCACTCTGGCTCTTTCTCCTTGTCCTTCCTCACCCTGTCTGTCAGCCTGAAAGCCTCGAAAATCCTCCTGAAGAACACGAAGTTGGGGTCATCAATCTCAGGCTCCTCGGTCATGTACTCAATCTCCACCCTGGGGGCATCCCCAGGGGTGGGCTCGGGGTCCCCCCAGGGGCAGATCAGGGTTGGAGACCCTTGCCAGGGCCCTCCCTTCCCCTGCTTCTTCCTCTTGCGGTTGCGGCGCTTCCGGTTCCTCACCTTTTTGGATGTCCCTGTGTCCTCCTCAGTCTCGGAGGTCAATGCTGATGCCTGGAGCTCTGTCTCCATTTCATCCTCAGCTGAGACCCCCAGGACCATCACCAGCTCCTCCTGGCGGCTCTGCTTGAGCTGCAGGATCTTCTCCAGCACCTGTGGGATCTTGGGGCCCACCCCGGAGTCCTGGGCCTCTCTGCTGTCATCGCTGGGGTGCGGGGGAGACTCGCGGGGCTGGGGGGCTCCTAGGAGCAGGGGGGCTCCCATAGGGCTGCCTTGGGGGGCCAGGGGGGTCCTGGCACCATTGGGAGCCCCCTCAGGGGGAGCGTGTGGGGCTGGGGTAGTCAGCATGCCCATTGCTGCCATCTTGTCCATCCCTGCCCCTGCGCCCAGCCCACAGCTCTCCTTTTCCTCCAAGAATATTTTCAGCAATTTTAGGTTCTTAACTAAGTCATAAACCTTGAATGTGATCTGCAGCAATTCTCTAAAGTTTAGAAATAATTAGCTCTTTAAAAAATATTTTACTGCTCAAGCAGACAAAGTCAGAATACAACCTGACACTCAGTTGGTCAGGGTGTTGGTAGCAGTCCAAATAAATGGTAGCTGCAGTCCTCCTGGAGAGACAGATGAGGTTCTGTTGAAGCAGTGATCCTGTCAAAGGGTGTAGTTTACCTTTGAAGGTCCAGTGGTGTTGTAGAAGGGTCTGGTTTTCCTCTGGGAATCCAGTGGAAAAAGGCTGCCTGTGGTGTTTGAAATCTCAGATTATATGGAGGTAGGAATGCTTAGCTCCTCCCCCTGGGTGGATCATTTCACAATGGGATGAGGTAATTTTATCACTCATGCAGTGAGATTCAATGGGCCATTAACAGAAGATAACTCCTGGAGGGAGGATGCCTTGTGGAAGAGATAAAGAACACTGCCCTACCTGGTTTTAACAGATGGTGATACAAGACACACTTCTGGTTACATCTTGCATTGCAATCTAAGACAGCTAAATATTACTTTTCTATATTTTAAGATATATAGTTGTTTTCTTTTGAGAGATAGGACAACTCCAACTAAAAAAGCTGTGATGAAACACTGATAAACACCTCTTTGTGGATAAAGACAGTACAGTGTGTTCACCCTTGATTTTGTCAAAGATTCTATTGCTTGCTACAATCTCTGCTGTTTTATGTTCCATAGATAACACAGAAGGGTCAGTGATGATTCTACATTATGGCTGGTATTGATTGTAAGCTGTTTTAGTGTTTTCATTTGTTTCATTTTACTGTCATAGGTACAGGACTGTTTAGAAAGGTGTTATCTCAACTTCCTAAGGCAGTTACCACTGATACATTGATTACATTATGTGAATTTACTGATTTTATAATAGGCATTATCATAAGATGTTATTACTGTATTTATAGCCAGCTTCTTTTATGCTTTAACATCTTTTTGTGTAATTATCTAGAAGACACGTGTCATTTCAGGATCATTCTTTTTTGTTCTCTAGCTGCTTATGCATCTCTTAGACCAGGTTAGCTCTCTGGCTAGTCCCTGCACTGGCTCTATGGTTTGACCCAATGCTGTCTCATAACTTTAAATATTTTTCAGAGTTCCAAGAAAATATCTAAGCTTCATTGAAAGCCTCCTCCGAACTGCTAGCCATGTGGTTTTTTTCCAGTTATTATTACAGAAGCAGTCCAGCAGTTTGCTGTGTTTGAAATATCTCTGCCCTGAAGGAAACTTTGGGGGTGTCATGGTTTGACACTGGCGCAATGCCAGTGCCCCCATGAAAATATATGCTCCCTGGTGTCTGCTGTGAGATGTGACCAGGAATAAGCAAAGCAGGCCCCCACTTAGAAATAAAGAAAAGAAAACTTTATTAACTAAACTACAACTCTCAGTAACAAGAAACACACAGGGGAAAATGAAAACTTTCCAAAAACATTTCCTCCTCCCCCCACCAAATTTCCAATACATCTATCTACCAAAATCACCAACTCTTGGTCCATCACCACCCTTTAGGTAATCAATTCTCAGTTCATCAAGAGGAGAGGAGTCCTTCTTGTGCCATAGGTTTCCCCTGGAATCACCATTGAAACCTCGTGTGTTTCCTGTCACATGTGGCACTGCCTGTAGAACATCTGCCATCGTGACCTCTTCCTTCCATGTCCAGTGCTCTCACCACTGCACATGGACCAGAGCTGCTTCTAGGGTTGTCCTTTTAAGGATGCTTTGTTCCATGCCAAAAAGAGCACAGTCTCACCTTGGGGACACCTGTGTCCCCCAAATTTCACCCCCTGGGGCCAAGGGGTCTCAACACTGAACCCTCTTGGCTCTGAGCCATTGCCTCCCCCTGGATGCAGTCTCTGTGTCTCAAGGAACATGCTTCTGTCCATGGCTATAACAAGAAGAGTCCAGCTAAGGCCACTGCATCATCTCTTCCCACCTAAGATTCTTCTCTACTCTCCCGACATCTTTCACTTGCCCAGACCTTCACACTTGCACATTTCCTTCTTCTATTTCATCTCTATCTCTCTTCTAGGAAAAGTTAACGTTCTGCAAAGTTTTCATTGACCGAAAAAGGGTTAAAATGCTCCCACAAGCAGCCAGACACCTTCTCACTGCACCCCCCCCCCCTTCCTTCCTTCATCCCCCGGCTGGGCTGTGCTGCCAGCACATGATATCAAATTTCAAGGCGGCACAGGCTCTCTGTCTCCTGGGGGTGGGGGCTGCCCGATGCCTCTCGGTGCTCTTCCACTCTTCCACCCTTCCATCCTTGGGCCAGGCCCACCTCACCCGGCCGCATGGCTTCCTCTCCCCCTCCCAGCCAGCAGCTGGGCCGGGGGAGGCCTGACCTGCTTCCCTTGTCAGAACCCAAGAGAGCTTACCCCGGGCGTGGTGCTCTGCATTTTAACCCCTGTGTTCTCAGAGGCGTATCCAATGTCCCCAGTGGCCACATCAGGTGCCAATATTAAAATCTGAACATCTATTGGTGACCACAGCATATCCCAGAAAGCATATCCCTTCCTCTCAAACCACGGCAGGGGGGATCCACCTACTAGATAGCTTGATTAGTCTTTAACCCCAAGGCCTTTACTCGTAACTACTGTTCTTAAGAGCCTTGTTTTAAAATGTGTTTAGGGAATCCCCTCCCAGTTGGAGCTTGGGCAGTGGCCAGGCCTTGGCTTTACCTGGGTGGAGAATTTGCCTATTAACCCAGATACAGATGTTTTCTGCATCAAAACTAGATTCAAGTCACTTTGACTTGGCAAGTTGACCCTTTATATATGACAACTGAGCCTGTTTTTAGGGTGAGCTTGGGAATTATTAACTGGAAATAATTATCCAAGCCGTCACTAAACTGAGGTTTGTCAGCTGTTCACAGACTCTGGGATGATGGTACAGTGTTTTAGAGATTCCTAATTACCTAATTTCACATGTATTAATAATTATGTGTATTATCTGAAATATTCTTAATTGTTGCACCTGATTTATTCCTGATTACTGTCAGTTTCTTGTTCACTACATGTATTGTTTTGCCTTGATGTTTCTTCATGCTTATAACCAAAGACACGCATCTCATTAAAAAAAAAGAAAGAAAATAAGGGGAATTTAGTGCCTTAAGAACATCCAAATAATGTAATATGTACATTAGAAATTTAGACAACAAATAATTTTGAATAATACAATATTTACATTAGAAATTTGGTAAAAAGATCATCAAATCTAAATCCCAATTGAGTGTGCAACAGCAAAGCCTAATTAATTCATTAACGTGAAGAGAGGGTGTGCTTGTTTTTTATCATCAGCAGGTTTGACACAGTCACCTGTTAGTTTGATCAGACACCAATCGCCTCTGAGATAATGAGGCCCAGTGGGAAGAGAAATAACCTAATCACCATGCAGCCTTCGTGGCCAGAACAGGAACAGAAGTAGGACTGCCAAGACATATCTGTGTCTGCAAACTACAGAGACAATTTGCCAACAAAAGCCTTATGTCATCATCATGGTATAGTGTTCCTACCAACATTCTTCAGTTATTCCCTGTTCCAGGATCCAGGAGGACATTCAGGGATGTCAAAGATCAACATTTCCAGCTAATGAACTTTCTCCTCAGTCTCAATTATCTGGACTTTCAAACAATGGTCATTTATTTCCATTTCCCTAAGAGACATTGAACATTATTCTCGTTTCCTCATACTGTGAAACCCAGTGTTAATGACATGCTTAAATTTGATAAGTTTTGTTTATTGTAATCAGTCTTTTATGTATCTTATCCCATATCTAACAAATAACCAGTGGTAATTATCTCTTTAATGAGATAATAGCTCAAAGGAGCAAGTCGTTTTAATATCAGAACATATGAGCCTTTTTTAAATTAACGAAAAGGGTGAGATGTCATAGACATGTAGAGGAATTATAAAAGAAAGGCCTTATGAAATCAGGACTCACTGCTAAAATTGCCAAAGGTGGCCTGTCATTTCATATAAGTTCAGTTAACAAGTAATTTGCAAGTTCCCATGTGAAGCTATGTTGAGAATGAGAACTTCATTTAACACAACAATCTATTCTGAGGGTGAAAACCAAATGCACCTGTGTAAAACAGTAAGATTTGTCCCATGAGAACCCACAAAGGAAAAATATAATAATATATAAACATATCTAGAGAGAGAAAAATTGATAGACATATACAATAACCCCTAGTGACCAATTAACTGAGTTCCACTGTATTGCTGACCAATTAGGTTGAACACAGTGCCTTCTGATATTTCCTATAAATATGAGCTTTGTGAATAAAGAATTGGCTTTCTGCATGAAGAATCTCGGCTGATTTATTCCAACATATTAGAAATTAGACTTTTGAGTTTTCTTGTAAGTTTTTCCCATGATATTCCAGCAGGCCACACGGATTACAAGGAACTCTTGACAAATTGGTATGAAGGTTTTGCTTTATAAGAATATTATTTTGATTTTTATAATAAAGAGCATGAACTCCATATATTGCTGAGGGATTTTAAAATTTATTTTATCATGCTTGTTGCTTTCTGTAACAATTTGAATATGATTGGTTAGAGCTGAACCTTGCAAAAACAAGAACAAGCTTTATCTAGCCAAAGCATAATCTGGCAATCACCAAGGTTTCAATTAATTTTCAGGACACTTCTGCAAGGCAATCTGAAGGGGTCAGGATACTCTTAAGTGAGCACTTCATCACGGACCTCAGTAGGTCCAATGTGTTCTAACTCTTCAAACAGCCACTGTGCTTCTGATTTGCCTGCTCTGGGAATGGAGACCCTGTACCCATGTGGGAGGATTGCCCTGGTGCATTTTTAGCATCTGTTCCTGTATGGCAATACACTTTCATGAACTGTTAGCACATGGCACTT